GATTTGTCGACATGATGTATTGTTTTCTTTGATGGAGGAGGCAATGAAGCGTCCCGTTATGAAACAGACGGTTCCAAGGTCGTAGGTTGCGTCCATCGGGAACACTTTGGTAATTGGAAACGTACTGAGCCGGAATAAAATATATAAGAAACTTCGCCGCTTGTCTGATCGACGTACCAGCGATTCGGCGTAACGAGGGGCGGCTGCCGTCCCCGATAGAACACCGCTGATAAATGAGCCATCCCGAGTAAACAGTGACCGACCACACCAAGCTAATGATTTCTGAAAGCCGAAGCAATGTTTTTCCGGAGTGTTGTTAATCTGTTGCTCGGGTAGTGGTTTAAGGTGCGAATCCGGCAGGGATTAGGACGCAGAGGGGCGGCTGCAGCTGATCGATGGGGTCTCACCGACACCACGTGCAACGTCCGCGATTTGTGGTCCAGGAAACCGCAACGAGGACAGAAGTGCTCCCGAGGGATACAAAATGTTATTACACTTCAAAGAAATTGTCGCAACTGAATTTTTGGGCGACTTTGACTAGAAAATTTCAGATTCCGGGGAATTAACTCGTCCCGGATAACTGTTTACGGAATAGTTGTGGCGTAGGCAATCGGAAATGCCCGCCATTCTCTCCATCAGTCCCCGGAATGTGAAATCCTCTACAATTAAAACTGATTAAACCAACAATTATCGTACCCCTCCTCTCGTGACAATGATAAAACTCATATCGATAATTAAAGTTGTCGAACTTAAAGTCGCATTAGGAACGGTGAGTGATTAAAAGAGAAAATGGAAAGGGGTCCGGCAGAAGGGGGTGATTGGTTTTATTAGGGAGAGTCTATCAATCAAGGTGGCGGCATGGCGGCTGCCCCTCTTCGATTCAACCAACACAAACAAGAACGACACGTAACGGCGCCGAACCTCCATTATGAATTAATTGTGTTTACATCCACTTACACAAAATACCTTTCACATTTTACTAAATTGTTATTGTTTAAACGCCAACGAAAGTTCGGAATCGTGCCTGAAACGGATGTTTGATTAATGGGCCGACGACTGAAATACCTGAAAAAGGAAGTGTTTGTCGTAGACCTGAAACTGAAACGAATAATGAAAGCCTCTCGCTTCGAGGGTCATTCAACACCAATTTCAGCCTTATAAAACACGAGTGTTTACACTTCAACTATAACGACATGTATTTTTTATACCCACACGGAAAAACACAAAAATAGTAAGTTTGAAATGGTGGATGCGCCGGGATAGCATTTATCGTAGACTTAGTTTTAAAATTGATGATTGTATTTTATTTACCGTCATGAAAACCGTTCATCACTAAATGAGTTTTTTCCTGTTGTCAGAAAGTTGATGGTAGTGGGATTAAATATATTCCTGGGGGTTGTACAAAAAATTAAAAACTTGTTTTTTCATCTCAATCATCTTGCTGATGCCAACGCAAACAAGCCACTTAAGCGATTTTAATGTGATTAGAGTTTTTTAATTAAAATTGACACAGTATTTGTAAAAAATTAACTTTGCAGCAGGCCGCCTCGTTTTCCTGCAACTTCACCACGTTCAGCAGTTTCATTTGCGAAACGTTGAATTTGTCAAGCGCTACGCAATTATTTGCGAGATGTTTCAAGTGATTAATTTAACTTTGCAGGATTCGTTCCTGCCACGTCGGTTATTTTTTATTTATGCGAGAAGACCGCAATCCGACGAGTTAATTTACCACAGACGAGAAATTTCGCAAAATAGTGATAGTTGAAGCGTGTTCTGTGTGTGGTATTTTCTTTCCTGTTTTAGTTCGGTTTTCATAAGAGCGTCCCTCGAGGAATCTAAGCAATAAACGCGGAACATTTCTCAAAGACACTTTTAATTAAGTATCTCGGGTCAGGTGGAGGCGATAGGGCTTCTTCTATCAATCAGACGAACCATTCCGGCAGGAACAGACGGATCTTTTTCGGCTTCTTTGACCTCTAGCATGTGAAAGCAAGGGTCGTCATGGTGATTTTGATACGGTTCTGTTGCATGGTGACGGGATGAGTGACCACCCTTTGCTCACGCAACACTTTTATCGAAACTAATTTTTACTTGTAATATCTCGAGTGCATGTGCAAATGTTTCAAAAAACAAATAATTTTCGATATCTCCGGAACCGTTATTTTGCGGACCCATGCTTATTAATAATTTTTTGTTTGTTTTAGTCCATACTATTACCTCCTGAAATATTTTACAATCTTTTTTTAACACCCTGAATAGTAAAGAATGCCTCTAAATGACAATTTATTTTGTTTTGTTAAAAGAGTTTAAGAAGTAATTTAATAATTGATAATTGATAATAATCAACCTTTACAGTGTTTTTCTTTTGGTTTTCCTCTTTTGTCAAATGTATTTCACTATTTCTCAAAACTATTTCCCTTATATGTCGCTTTGACATTAATATATCAAATGAAATAGTTTTGAGAAATAGTGAATTACATTTAACAAAAGAGGAAAACCAAAAGAAAGACACTGTAAAACTGCTTCATGTGGTAAAAAAATTAGGTGTTTTTCTAACAACACGTAGCAAATTTGGTAAAGAAAAGTTACGTTGCTCTTAAACCTTTATATTATGTCAATATAAATTTAATCAATTTTAAACTCAAAGAAAAATTATGCAAATCATTAATTCTACTGATTATTTTTACTATTGCTTTATTATACCAGGTAACTAAAAATTATGAAACCAAACGTTTTTTCTTTAAACTATTTATTTTTTAGAAAAACTAGTTATT